GATCAATATGCAAATCAGTAGATCTCCGGGATATTCAGTAGAACTGCTATAATCCTGTCGCGTGCTAACACGGCAATCTGGTTGTTTTGTTTTCTGACAAATGCCAACGACGTCGCGCACCTGCAATGATGTCAGTTTGGTGAAGTGGTGATAAAAAGTACATTATATTGATACTATCTCTTTTTTCATCATCAATAATATACGCACGTTTCAGAATTTGCATTCAAGTCAAGAAATTTCAAGATATTTTGTTTTCTCGACAAGAAATCTTGGTATTGAAATAAATTTCCTTGTCGTGTCTTGATATCTGAAATTCTCTCTTGTCTTGATTTCGAAATTTTCAAGAAATTGGCGACCCCTAAACGGAATATCCCTGTAGTTAGTCTTCAATTAATTTCCCCACATGTTGAACGTGCATTTCGGAATTTGCCTGCCATAAATCTCCCTCACAGGAATGGATACTAATATACTCTAACGGATGGTCCATTTGGCAAGAATTAGGAATTCGCAGATGATATACGTCCCCTTCCATTGAATATGATGCTTGGTTCATGATGATGCTGGTTGGTAGTTATGGTTTAGAGACTCTGCGACAATGATTTCGATAAATATAGTATCGTTTATGATTATTAGCAAGGTTCATCTTTTCAAGGTGATTATGAAATGAGTTCATATTGATTGATATTGATTATTTCATTCATCTGAAAATTCACGCTTTTGATTGGTTGTAACAGCTGTATTGATAATCGAAAACACTATGTTATCGATTTTGTATTTCGGCACCTGATTGGCTACTTACTGTTTGAGTTTTTGTAGCATGACAGCTGGATATGAATGCTGTCATAATATATTCGTGTTCAGGAAATAAAAACACTACACTTCTATTCAAAACCCAATACTATCACGATTTGAATTGTCCTCACAATTATTATAAGACAATTCCAAATAATTATTGATTGAGCATGATTCGCTTGATATAACCTAAAATAGGAATAATTTTTCAACCACGACTGACGTGACATCTCTACATCTCTCTCTTCTCACTCCCTATGATGTACGCTGCTTTATCCATTCAACGCTTTGATGTATTGTTAGTTGCATAACATCCCTAGTACCTTCGATCGCGAGTGAAGAGGAAGAGTGAATGCGGGATCACGATTGCGGGAAACTCAATTGAGAAGGCTGTGGCCAGTTGTGAAGGAATCAAAGAAAACAAAACTGTTTAAATGTTGATAAATATCGTTACTAGGTGTGGTGTATAGCTTGAAAATGGGCAGTGAAAATCGTTTCGGTAAATATAGTGTAGAAGAAACAAGAAATGAAGTCAAAGACTTAACGCCTCAAAATACCGTGCGTTCCAAAAAGTATGTTTGGAAACAATTCACAGAATTTTGTGAACAGCGAAATCATCAGCTAAACGAAAATACATCTGATGAAAGACTTGCCAATATTCTCACAGAATGGGCATTTAATATGCGGAAAACCAATGGCAGTGAGTATAAGGACATGGTAGTGAAAACTATTTGGAATAATACAGCTAAATTACTCCAAGAAAAATACTATCATGAATACAATCGAAAATTTGATTTATTCAAAGATATAACATTTGAAGTTGCTAGAAATGCCAAAAATACTAAAAGGAAACAACTACAAAATATTCCGGAAAAACGAAAAAAGTCATGTGTTTCATTCACATCGGAAGAATTGACACAAATTATCCAAAGTTGGGATGAAAATACTCCAAATGGATTACAAAGGAAACTGTATCATATTATAGCAGTGGAATTAGCTTGGCAGGGCGGTGAAGCATGCCGATGTCTGATTCATAATTTCAAGGAAGAAATAAATAACAAGGGAACACCAACTGGAAGACTGGAATATGAACCCTATATTCGCGAAAACCGCACAAGGTGGATCAAAAAATATTGCAGAAAGTAAATGGCTTGTGTCAAATAAAGAAAATCAAGAAAATTGTCCAGTTCGTTTATTCAAGAAATTGATGTCAAAAAGGGGAGAGAACAATAAAACTGATCGACTATTTTTGACAGGTAATGGTAATTGGAATAAAGATCATAAAAGTCCTTGGTTTTAAAATATGCCAATGGGTATAAATGAAATGAGTAAATGGACCAAATTGTATGCTGAAAAGATCGGTTTAGATACAAAAAACGTGAAAATATCAAACCATTCAAACAGATCTACAGCTGTGAGTCAATTGGCAAGTTCTGGAATTGGGGAACAATAGATAATAAAAGTTACTGGGCACAGTAGTTCAATGTCATTGAAACCATATTTACAACTGAGCAAAGAACATCATGCTGATATAATATCAAACCTCAGAAAAGAAGATAATATGGATATATCCACGACGGTTGCATCTAGTAGCAGTAATGATGAATGTCACTATGTCAAAATAAATAATTGCAATAACTGTACATTCAATATAAATATTAACAATAAATAGGTAGTGAAAATGATTTATTTTTCATTCATGAAATAATCTTGACAAATACAACACGTGTAATTGATGATTATCGAAAATTCCTTCTCTTTTCGAAGCAAATTGTGTTGCTTTTAGGCAAGCGCTATGCGCTCGTGTGGTTTCCAAGCAACACAATTTGTTTCTCAAAATCGAAGGAATTTGTGTTTCGATAATCATCAATACACTTGTTGTATTACAAGCGATAACATCACTATGCAGTTTTTCCCACTTTTTCAACCTATGAAAATTATAATACGTACATACATTTCACCTAGGTGAATAATGAAAATCTCTGTCAATGATGTCAATAAGATGCAGTATACACAAGCAGGTACCATTGCCTATGCAATCAGTGTGAAATGAATCAATGTTTGATATTATAACATACAGTGTGATACAGTGTCATTCATAAAGTCGGCATCATATAAGAAAAACTTTTAATGATGACTTATTTCCAAATTCGACTTGGGCGTTGAGTTTTTCTTTGGAAAATATGAAAAATATAGATTACTCGGTCGGGGTCACGTGACTGTCGCTACATGTCGGAAGATGATTATTTTTGCAAATTATACTCGCTGAAAATAGACTCATATATTCGAAATTCGAGAAAGTCCACATATCAAAGTGGTTTTCATTCAAATTTCACATTTTTTTCTCGAATGCGAGAATTGTATAACATCTCTGAGTTCTTGATAGTTTTTGAATTTTTACGAAATGTCTTTGATAAAAGAAATTAACATCGACAAAACTATTTGATTCTTGTAACTTCATCATGATTCTTCTAACTTTCGATCACTAATTATCCATAGAAATATGATTTTTTTCAGAAAATGATAATCCCCGCTCCAAATTTTTGTTATGTTTGATGCAAAGTTGATGTCTACCATTCAGAAGCGAAATCAATTCGAATAAATTTTTTCAATAGTAAAATGATGCCAAAGTTATCTACTAATATATCAACATCGAACCACTAAACGCATCTAACGAAAAGTATAGGGCAGTTTTGGAGAAGTTACGATAATTATAAGAAGGTATCAAAAAATATCAATAACTGAAGGTTGCAATAAATTGTTCGAGTTTTAGACAGATATGTGGAATTGGAATAGAAACAAGTTTTCTTTGTGAACTTTCTTGAAATTTTAAAAAATATGCTCATTCATTCGAGAATATTTAACTTTTGACCTGTAGCGAGAGTAATGTGACTCCGAACGAGTAGGCAATTTATCATCTATCCTGAAGCACACCTCAATGCCAAAGTCGAATTTTGAAATAAATCATTATTAGAAGTTTTTCCCATACGAAGCAAACTTTATGAATGACACTGTATAACGTTTAGAATTGTGTAATTATAATTGATTATTGGAATATCAGTTATTACACTTCGCTACCATCAGAGATTAACGATATAAAACGTATCAAGGGGTTGCCATATGTTTGTAAAGGTACGAAAAATTCTATTTATCCTTATATATATACTAAATCAGAAATGCAGATGAAAGAAATTATTATAAACTATGACACTTCATCTCTCTTCTTTATCATTCCTAGATATCCCAATTGTAATCGTAATCATTATATGTATTGTAATTATTGTATTTGCACAAAAACAAGGATGAATCACTCGTGAGCATATTTAAATATAATAAATCCAGTGGTGTACGGAATGTGAGTCCTATATGATTGTGATTTCATTTTGCTGTGCAATGCATGAATGAAAGACAAGCATATTCAGAGATGGGCATCGTCTTTGTTCGAAGATTGATACGACTATTTCACTCATCACATAATCTGACCAATCACAAGCCAGAGACATTTTGTGCTTATCGCGAAGACATTAGCTGTCATTCAATTCTGATTGTTCTATCAGCGTTGATGTTTTCATGGATAGCGAAGCAAACTCTGTCAGTTTGGCATAAAATAATCAGGGCTGTACTTGTCAGAATGAATCAATCATTTATAATGGATACTTCTTGAACGAGAATCAGTGTAGCAAAATACCTCCTTGTTCTGAATATCTCTCCTGACGGACTCGTGATGTTGCTCGGCAACACAATTTCGTGAACACTGAAGCGACAGAATCATCTCGAATATTCTGAACATCGTGATATATTACTTATGATTATTTTTTTCACATATGAGAACGTGGCATTTTCGTTGGTTCAACTAATAGCAATGCGTAATTCTTTCAAATCATTCGGTATTATACTGATAACCATCTTCAAATTGATGAACTGTCAAAATTGATCTGACTTACTGGTGTCCACCAGCTTGTTTCTTTCGACCTATATCTTATGTGTAGGTCACAAAAAATTCAATCATTATTTCAAGATTACAGTCGGAATTCATCTATTGAGAAATTAATAACTCATTCCACTTCATACAGACGTGACAATGATAATACACTGGCGAACAGAAGAAGATAATAAGCTAAAATTCCATTTCGATCTTTTGTATTTTTCAACGGTATGATCCAAAAGCAATATCACGGTATGAGTGAAGAATCATATTACCCACTTACCTAGAATCAAATTGGTATCTGCAGTTGTGGTGGATACAGTGGTGGTGGTCGTTGTGGTAGTCGTGGTAGTCGTGGTTGTAACTTTGATTTCTGGAAAAGATTTAATGATATTTATATGATGATGACTTTCATACTCAATCAAGGAGTTCAAACTTGAACGATAGATATTTGCTTTTGAAATCATTGAATCACATATCCGTGATTGGTTTTCTTAATTCACAAATTTCCACACACAGTGAGGTCAGCATCAATTTATCACACAACTACAGCTCTGCACGGGCCGGCCAACCCGAGCGGACCTAGGCCTGGTCCTGAAGTATGAAGCCGGACGGAGCGTGAGGGTTATTCTGGCCGTGCGGGTTACGCGGGCCGTGAGGGTAATTAGGACCGTATGGGTTACCCTGACCGTGGGGGCTCCGTGTATATCTACATAGATAGGAAGGACTTCTTCGATCATACAATTCTATTTTCAGGAGAGTGAATTGCTCCGTTCAAGAAATGTTCATTTGAATGGAACAGTTACACCTGCCCCGAATTAATCGGCTTGCTTGCTCTGTTTCTTGAAACTCATTGATATTAATTTGATTTAACATAAAAAGTATATCCCTTCATTCGAGGAAACCGCGACTATAAGGGATATCAATCTCAATTTACATTGGTTCAAAAAAATCTCTGCTTGTTCAAGAGATTTGCAGTGACGTATATACAGCGGTACGCCTGCGCCCATTCGACTTCTCAGTCGTTATTCGTCATTGCCGCTGTTGTTTTTCTTGTGAAGACGGTGCAAAGTACCTCTGTTTCTCAATGGTGAAGTATTAAAGAATCAAGTGTGCTGAGTCATGGTGTGGTTTTATCTTCACACCAATGCGGCATTCCATATTTGGGAACTATCTGCGGGGTAAGAACTTTGTATATTCTTTTAACATACTTGTACCTAGTGAGGTGTTTTCCCTTCTTATTTTATTGAAAACATGCTAAGTACCTAGATATCAATCATACCGGAAACGATAACTACACATCACTTTCAACGCATATGGCCATGTTTGTATAACCTGCACAACACACATTCGTTCAACAGTGACGATTTCACCAGTCGCATCGATTCGATGAACGCACTAATAGGAATAGGTATTCGTTATCGTCCACTCTTTGTACATTTCTTACATGATTCTTGATTAAAATGATTGACCCAATAATAATATGTCTCTTCCCTTTGTATGTTTACATACCTATAACACCTTCAATACATGCCCTTTTGTCAAACGCAGAATTTCTTGTAACAAGGAAATAACTGATGGTCTTGAGATTCCGTTCATTTTCGACAATGCCTCGAAATGTTTTCATTCAAGAATAGGATCGTTCAAATACGATGGGAGATGGGCTTGACAGTAGAAGAATTTTCTTGTTTCAAACTAATTAATTCTTTTTTCGGCCAATACGTACTATGATAATAAGAAATATCCATTCGAATCCAGATTTTTTCTCATGAATAAGTCAAGAAAGTTCTCTAGAGAAATCAAACAAATATTTGGTCAGACCTATTCAAGAGCGCGATATCCTTCTCAGCTGTGTATAGATAACTCTGGTATTTTTCTATCTAATTATTGAAAAGGAATATCGCTTTGTTGTTCTATTGGAAGAAAGCATTCAGTTCAATCAATCTTGAAGAATTATACTGCTTATTCAAAATTTAAGCACAGAATATCATTGATTCTGCAAGCAAATTCAAGGTGGTTTTTGGGTTAAATTAAGATTCTTTCTGTAAACCTAGAACCAATTTGAGCAGGCCAAGCGAGAGGATCAGAATCAGTTCAAAGAAACGCGAAGGCTGGAACGGACGCGCCGGTTACTGTGCCGTGAGAGGCTCGTGGCCTGAGCGGGCCAAACGGACCACGCGGGCTTAGTTATCTGATGCGCGGGCTAGAAGGCTGAGCAAGCCGAGAGGGCCACGTGGGCCAAGTAAGCTGGGCGAAGTTTGACGAAGCATGAGTGTCGTGCCGCGGGTCGGGCTATTATAATGTTTTTATTATTAACTGCGGAACGCGCGGCCGGCCGTGAGCCCACCATGTACTTACGGCGTTGGGGTAGCCCCAGGTGACTCCAGACACCACTGGTTAAAAGCTTGAGGTCATCACCCATGTAACATTCCGAATGCCTAATCGCTTCAAAGAGGTTATGTGAGCCCAAATGATAGGTCTTATTTGTTTTACCGTTTTATGCATGCCCTGGAAAAAGCATATTGGCCTTCATGTCCATATAATCCTATTGAACGGCTTTGAGATACTATGATAGAACTATCGCTTAAAACAATTTGGCATTCAGCTCACTTCGGTTTCAAGAGAGCTCTGTGAGGGTCATTGAAATTCTTTTTCAAACTCATTTACTCTTAACAACCCTCTTGAAACACTCAAGTTTCATTAGTGTCTCGAATTTGACCAAGAGGTTTCCAACTTATCCTATGGAAATACGTCATGAAGCAATCATAAAACCAAATTCACGGTAGGCCAATTTGAATTTGACTGAGGCAATAATGAAAACTAATGGCATTTTACTTGCTATGTGGTAGTAATCATTGGAACCTATGAGCCACAATGAATTCATAGTCAATCATGAAATCTATAAGATTTATGAAGTTTTATTCAGAACCGTGTTAAACCCAAATCCCATGATATAAATGTTCGTATTTTCATGCCTACAAATGACTCACGTTGAAATGAACGAATAAATAGTGTGATATCGAGAGAAATGGCAACTTCGAGCGATAAAATAAAGAAAATTACTCAACAATCAAAAATCAAGTCGTGAGAGCAACAGTGAATCAGAATTATCAAGCCCAAGCAATTCCAAACACTGCGTCTTTCAATTCATCCCACCTGAAACCACCGAATAGCAAGAATTTATTCATTATGACCTGATGTTCAAGTAGTACCATCAACGAGTCAGAACGTTATGAAGAATACTTCTGATCATCGTGCTCCTGAATGGGAACTAGGAGGCGAGGAAGTTGACATTAGTTTTGCACAAATAATGTCAGATGGCGAGTTCAGCAGGAATTTGAGAGAATTGAGCAATCACAATATCAGGCAAACTGCACTAAGTGTAGTTTGTCTATGTTTATGTTTCCTAGTCGGTTTCCTTCTCAAAACCATACACAAAATTCACAAAGTGAACACTGTAAATATGGTTTTGGCTGATATTATATCTTTGAGTTGTCAGATAATGGTCATTTATGTTATGTCTGTGAAAGTCATCGAGCAAAAGCGTATTACTTTGTTCAAATACATTGCAACTATTGCAAGTCTCGACCGGGGACTATTAGTGGCCTTTCCGTATAACGTAAACCACCAATCGATGGTCGCAATATTATACCACCAACGTTGACATGTCCCAGACAAGATTGAGCATTTTCAGGAATAAAGATATTATTAACAATAAATACATTGACTCTAGCAACTAATGATAGGTGAAGATTATTTGTGCCACAAAATATGCAGACTCTCGCATGGATGGGAAAGACAACATTCAGGTTAATATAATGAACGTTATCCCAAATTCCAAGTTTCTCTATAATGGATCAAATACAGTACCAAAATAAACGAGTACGATCGGTGAGGGGTATATCCTTCTTTCCTAGAACCTGTCGACGATGTATTGCGATTGCTTGCTGCTCAACATTTTGATCTTGATCGATGCGTGCCATAGCATTAATATTGCCTTCGCTATCGTATATCAAGCAACAGAACCTATTCTGATAAGCCATCTTATATGTATTTGAAGAAAGTAATACGCTCTTGCTCGATGACTTTTGCTGAAATAACATAAATGACCATTAACTGACAACTCAAGAATATAATATCAGCCAAAACCATATAATGCACAGGATGTGCTGTTATGGTAGAGGTTATCGTTTGGCTTCAAGAGCTTATTACTCCTTAGAACGGGCATAACGGACCTCGGACCAAAATACATTTCTTGTTCAGCATGACGCGATCTATCCATAATCCTAGAGTTCCACAAAATTTCACCGTAGACAAGATTTCAATGTGAATGGTGCGGGTTCCTTTCTGATCATAAACTTGACAGTGAAGTTGATTCTGACAGGCCTTCTCAAATTTACTAGTGTTAGCTAGCTTAGCTTACTGAAAATATGGTCGATGAGGGTAATCTTTGCATTTTTTCCTACTAAACAGACAATAATGTACCTCTCGCTTACTAACTTTGTTTTTATTCAGAGCGACAATGCTTTACTCAGATGTCATAAAAAATGACACACTATTGGCTAGTCCTGTATACCCCAAGGATTCATTCAAAGATATATGATCAACTTCATTTTGTTCTGCTGTTATATATGAGTGTTATGAAATGATAATAATGAATCTTGTTGATTCTGCGTGAATATTCACAGCCCAATTCCAATGAATAAATCAAAATCAATTCATGGTACAACTATCATATGCATGGAATAATGATATGAAAATATGATAATCCATCATCAACATAGATGTTCGACATAATTTGCATCAGATTAAACCAGATCGATGAAAGTTATTATCCTCTTTACAACATAATAACGCTACAGAATTTACATCTCACCAAGTTTTCTCTTCATCATTAGAATTCTGTCACGAGCAGGTGTTGAAGTTCTGTTCTGTTTACCTTTAATATGCATTTAATTAAGAGAATTATGTGTTCGATATCTCATCTAAGTTATGTTAACAGAACAATGCCGAGCAGTACGTCAAGTCGGGCGTCTAGAAAATTATAGTTTAGCGTCTCTATATAATTTTATGTATAAGAGGATATTAGATCTACGGGAATAGACCATGTACAGGCTCTCCCATTCTCTTTGTCCTCACGGAACATCTCACTAATTTTTGAAGATAGAGATTTGCGGTTTTCGCAAACGTTGGCACCGACTTATATGCTGATGTAAACTGCCAATTTCTATAAGAAAAAAGGTGAGCTATACTCAGGCATAGTCATCTTCAAAGAGGAAAGCCCTGGTGAGCCCAGTCTGGCAACACTGTTCAAAATGTCTACCTCATGCCATTTGTATAAATACGATATATGGTTTCTGGATGTAACAGAAC